TGTCCAGTAGGCAGTTGGATGTATAGAATTTAATGACAGTCTAAGTTGGAGATTTGAATTGGAAAGTTGTTGGCACATGGTGTTTAAAGGGATGAGATAACCAAGGGAGTGGATGTAGACCCAGAAGAAAAGACCTTAGAGTACTAAGTCTTCGGCTTCCCCAATATGAAGGGGTTGGGGAGACTAGAAGGAGCAACCAGTGAGATGAGAAGGAAAGCAAGAGAGGGGAGTTCTAGAAACACAAAGTATTTCAAGAAAGAGATTGAATGAATCAGGGGAGAGAGCGAAATGGTTGATGATGCAGGAGAGAGAGATAATGTCTGGAGTGATACCCTTGAGTAGCTTGGAGTGCACAAGAGGAAAGCTGGTCCCAACAGGAGCACCTACCCTTCACCCACAACACCAGGGCGGCAGGCAGAATATGTGGGCACAGATGCTTTATCACCCCTTTTAGCTCTGATCTTCTCAAGTGTGGCTTTCTCCTTATACTTCCATCACCTGACTCCTTTCCTGGTCTCAGACGCGTTAAGTGCACCACCAAGGTAATCAGATCAAGGTCTTCTCAACTGTGCATTATCTTAGAGAAGCGCCTGACCTGGGCAGAACTATGATGCCGTTCACTTGTCAAATTCTTCCTATCTTTCAAGTACAGCTATAAGCCCACATCCTTCTGGAACACTTCCCTGACCTCCACATCCCAGCCCACACTGCATCCTCTTCCCCTACTACCTCCAACTCCAAGACTGGCATTGAGGAGCATCCTTGTAGAGACCTAGGATGGAGAAGATGGGATGCCTCTTCAGCTGCATTTCCACTTTTCACCATGAGGGGGCGAAGGATAGCAAGTGCTTGTGTCAGCCATGCTAGGGAGAGCTTGAAAAAGAGCTGAGAGAAGCGTCTATTCAGGTCCTCTACTCATTTTTAAAATCAGATTGTTTTGGGTTTTTTTTTTTTGGTGTTAAGTTGTATGAGTTCTTTACATAGTAAACTTTATCAGATGTATCATTGGTGAATATCTTCTCCAATTCAGTAAGTTGTCTTTAAGTTTTGTAGCTGGTTTCCTTCTTGCTTTGATATAATCCATTTGTTTATTTTTTCTTTTGTTTCCCTTATCTAAGGAGTCATATCCAAAAAGATATTGCTAAGAGCAATGTCACAGAGTTTACTGCCTATGTTTTCTTCTAGGAGTTTTACGGTTTGGGGCTTACATCTAAATCTTTAATCGATTTTAATCATGTATATGGTATAAGAAGGTCATCCAGTTTCATCTTTTTGTATGTATCTGTCAAGTTTTCTCGACAATATTTATTAAAAAGACTGTTTTTACCCCTTTATATATTCTTGCCTCCTTTATCGTAGATTAATTGATGACCATTATTACTCAGCCATAAAAAAGAATGAAATCTTGGAATTTGTGACAACATGGATGGACCTAAAGGGTATTATGCTAAGTGAAATAACTCAGACAGAGGAAGACATATAGCTTATGATTTCACTTATACGTGGAATCTAAAAAACTAAATAAATGAACAAACAAAACAGAAACAGACTCATAGATACAGAGAACAAATTGATGGTTGCCAGATGGGAGGGGTTTGGGGGATGGGTGAAAAAAGTGAAGGGATTAATAGCCAGTAATAAAAATAGTCATGGGGATGTAAAGCACAGGATAGGAAATATAGTCAATAATAATATAATAATTATGTATGCTGTCAGATGGGTAGTAGACTTATCCGAGTGGTCATTTTTTAAGTTATATAAATGTCTAATCACTACATTGCACACCAAAAACTAATGTAACATTGTATATCAACTATAATTGAAAATTTTTTTAAATTAAACAGAAAGAGCAGGGAATTTGCAAGCCAACTGTTAGTCCCTCTCTGGCTTTGCAGGCCTGCTTCATTAGTCCTGCTTGCTATAGGGCGGAGCGGTAGATCTTCTGGTGCTCTCAATGAGAAAGCCAGTAGCTCAGCAGGCTACACAGGAGACCAGAGAGAACTCTTTTGGAAGAAGAGGAGGCAGAGGCCCGGAACAGCCGACCCACTTCCTCCGGCCACATGGCCATTATTTGGCAGGCTGGGAGGTCCTGGTTTCTAGCCTACTCTCTACTCTCTTGTCTGCATTCCACTCCTGCCAGCCAGGGTTAAGGCATTCACTCCAGAGTTTAAATTTTCAAGTTCAAATTTTCTTAACATGGGAGATGGGGTTCGAGGTAGGGGTGGGCAGGGGAGTACTAGTGGGAAATCTGGAGGAGAATGAGCTGGAGTTTCAGCTCTGAGGGATCTATCAAAATGCCTAAGGAGATACGACATGAGACAAGAAGAGAACACTGGACAGTGCATGTTAGAACAGACCAGAGTTGAAGCTGGCTCCTGTGCCAGGAGACTTAGGGAAGTAAATGGACTTGTGTAGTGTGAGAGGACCACCTCTGATAGACTCCCTTTCCTTGAAGTGAAAGGAACTAGACTGTATGAACATTTACAGAGGGGTGGAGGGTGATGGAGAGGGACCATGTTTTGACAGCAATGCTGCCAAAGGGTTGATTGGGGAATTTCTAAGGTGAAGGAAGAAACTTGGTGCCTGGGGTCATTCCTCAGAGGTGGTCACACATCTCTGTGAATGGATAAAGTCATCACTGCAGCTAAAGTCCTATTTGGAAACCCAAGGCCCATCACCATTTGTCTGTGAAGGTGTCAGGTTTCCTTGGACAGTCTGGTTGTAGAGGTTTCTTTAGAAGTTATGTTTGTGATGATCTCATCATGGGAAATAAGGAAAGAAGAAGAGGTGCCAAATATGTTATTGTGCCGAAGGTCCTGTTTTAAGAAAACAAACACCAGATTGTATTCATTAGCAACTGCTAGCCACAAAAGTGGAAAAAGCAGTTAAGCCAATAAGAAATAATACCCACATGTGAGGTAGTAACCTTGGGTGAAGTAGGCCAGTAGGAAGAGAGCCTCACTTCTGGTGGCAGAAGCAGGATAGAGGGACACGGCAAGAGGATTGAGACTTGGTTGCTGACGGGGGATGCTGCAGTTTACACAGCCTGCTGATCTTGAATGGGGCTTTTCCCCAGGAGCAGTGACCCAAGTGGAGACCTAGCAGCAGCCAAGACATGGTCCAAGAAGGGCCACTTCCATCACACATTGTATTTCACCACAATAGAGGCTGAGAGAAGCCAGGGAGGGAAAGGGGGCTAGGAATGGCAGTCAGTGGTCCTGCCTCAGAAATTAGACATTGTCATGAAGATTAAGAATACCTCACTAGGGAGAACTGAATAAACTGTTCTTATCGTTGGGCAGTTAAGACTTCCTATGTCCATACTAGGCCTGGGACTATGGATGTCCTGAAGAAACCTGGCAGAGTGACTCAAGCCAAACCAAAAACAACGTTACTACTAATATTGCTGTTTTCATGCACAAGGCCTGACAGGGTAGGATGAACAGTGTGAATTGCTGGGGAGGCTGACGACCTCCACAGACGCTGGACCAGATGTCCTGGCCTTCATTCCCCACTCTCTGGCCCCATCCCTCGAAGTAGTCAGACACAGCCACTAACAAACTTATATTCAGAAATGCATATACACATAGGCTCAAATACAGTGTTGCTCATGTGTTCACAAATATATATACCCATGCACCACTAATCAATCTCTCTCTCTCTCTCTCTCTCTCTCTCTCTCATTCTCACACACACACACACACACACACACAAATACACACACACACACACACAGAGTAGAGTTTGAATTCAGCACTAAATTCAAAGGGGCAAATTCTGGTTCCTCCATGTAATAGTTGGATATCCTCAAGCAAATTACTTAATCTCTTTGTGTTTTAATTTCTTTATTTGTAATAACAAAGATAATAAAAGCATTTACCTCACTGAGTTGTGAAGACAGAATGAGATAAAATGGTAAAGAGCTTATGACATGCAGAGACACATGTATTCATGTATATTTCCTAACCCCTCCCCCATACTTCTACCACTTGTTGGGCCTGGAGAAAGCACAAGGTTAGAGCCCCGGTTTTCTCCTCTGTAAAATGGAGATAATATCTACCCAGAGGGCCGTTGTGAGGATCGAAAGAGGCCCAGCATGAAAGGACCCAGGCCCACAGAAGCTGGTCGCACTGGAGCTGTTACCCTCTGTATCTGATAAAGAACAAGTCACAGAACAGGTGCAGGGCTGAGATGAGCCACGGCAGAGACTGGCCCCCGTCTCTTTTCAGGCTGGAGCTGGGTCTTACAAGGACAGAACCCAAGGCCACAGGGATGAGGGGTGTCAGAACTGCTTCTCCCTCCCCTTTCCCCGTTGGAGCCTAGTCTGGCCAGCGCTTGGCGTGGGGCTGGGGGCAGGGCTGGCCGGGTGGCCGTGGGTGGAAGGAAACGAGGAAAACCAGCTGGGTGGAAATTACTCTGTGGTTGGCTCAGGCACCCACGACGCTGTATTTATAGAATACTCCCTGCAGCTCTTAATTCCTCTCTGTAAAGTTAACCCTTTTCTGGCCCCGGTACCAACCTAGTGCCCAAGGAAAACGCAGACCTGGAGTCGGACAGCAGAATCTGAGCTCCGGCTCTGCCATCAGCAGCCTGAAGGGTGAGGGCGAAGAGTGTGATCAGTGACTGGTCACCTGTCCCCTTAGCAGAAAATAAACTTTGGATCCTGGGAATGTGGGAACGGGGTGGGGGAGGGGCAGCAATTAGACCAGCGCTCCCTTCCCGGAGAACTGGGTCTCCCCGCTAGGTCTGGACTGGGGTCAGGGGCGGGGTCCAGGCCCCGTGCTCTGCCCAACGGGCGGGCTCAGGCCTTGGCCCCAAACTGCTGCCGCGGGGCCAGTCCCGCCTCTGCCCCCACCCGGCTGCCTT